AAGCTGATACAGGTGCGGCACAGGGCTTGGTGACAGAACATCCAAGGGCTCTGGGTTCCATCCCTAGCACAGAAGGCAGAGGTGAGGTAAGCCAGCGCTCAGGAGGCTGCAGCCAGATCTCCTCAAGTTCAAGGCCGCCTAAATGCTAAGCGAGGTTCCCATAACTTTCCATTTTCCAGGAGTAGTGTATACTTTTATCTTTGCTCATTCTCTTTGTTTTTCATTCCCTTTTCCTACTTAATTCAGTCTAAGCTGGCTCTGCAGAGCCAGTTTCTCTCCCACTACAAAAAAAGGCTTCAAGAGACCAAGGGCTAGAAGTAAACAATGGACTGATACACTGAAACTATTTACATAGAAAAGGGGAGGGGGAAACCGGCTCAGGGCTGCAGCCTGGGCCAGGGTGCAAATGGGCTCAAAACCAGCAAGATAGGGGGCTACCTCCCCCTCACCCCACCTCCCACTGAACGTGCTGGCCCTGAGCCAGCTTCTCCCTGCTCCAAACACATCACCTCCGTTCAGGGATGGGGAAGCCAGGCTGGCAGCTCGAGTAGACAAAGCCCAGGTCTCCACAGCAGGTCCACACCCAGGGAGCTGGGTTAGCGGGTTACCAATAATCGCTCTAACCCTCAGGGCTGCCAAGCACAGAGCACTGAGGCCTAAGCTGTGCAGGAGCAGTTAAAGCTCACCGGGCTCCCTCCTCGCTAATGACCACCTGCCTTGTTTCCCTGAGCACAGTGATCCACAGGAGTCAGTTTGTCTGCTTTATAAACTCCTAACAGCCTCTAAGGTTCTGTTTGTTGCATTCTTCCAGTTTTGATTTTCTGACATAGGGTCTCATTATGCAGCCCAGGCCTCCACCTCATAGCGATCCTCCTGCCTCAGCCTTCCAGGTGCTGGGATTATAGGTGCATGCCGCTACGCCAAGCTTCTTAATAGCCTCTGAAATGAAAGATGCTGAGAAATCACAAAGTCAAGGGCAGGATGTGGATGTTGACAATGCAAAACTGAACTCCTTAGTGCTACAACAACAAACAGTACCTTGCTAAGCCCTTCTGTATCTTAATTTACTGAAGCCTTATAGCAACCCAGTGACACAGGCATTAATTAGTGCCATTTTGCAGCTGAGGAAGTCAGTTAAGGACCTTCCCCAAGGTCATACGGTATCAGTAATGTGGTAACATTAACCTTCCACTCCTGTCTCAGCTCAGTGTGACACAATTCTCTCACCCTCAGAATTATGAAACTGCATGCTGTAAATAAAACAATCAGTACCCTTACAAGGACCAAATTTCTCACTCTAATCCCTGTATCACCATCATTTCAAAATTACTTAAAAATGTAGAAGGCTCGGGGTGTACCTCAGCGGTAGAGCAGTTGCTTGGCAGCTGTTCTGAGGCCTGGTTCTATCTCCAGCACCAAAAACACCCAAAACAGACAAAAACCCCTGTGTTTAAGTAAGTAGGTCAAGGTAACTGAGGCCTCAGTGCCCCAGAAAATGGCCTGTGATGACTCCCTTTTGCTGTGTTAAGGAAAATCTAGACCCTCATTCCTAGCAAAACAAAAAAAACAAAAAACAAAAAACAAAAAAAAAAAAAACAAAGAACTGGTGAATAGGTCTTGCAGCCCGGCAGCCAATATTCTACAATTTCTGCTAGCTGACTGGCTCAAAACGCTGCTGCACAGGGCTTGGTCTTGACCTTGACAACGAAGATCCCACATACACGTCTCACCAGTGATCCCAGGACCTGGGAGGCTGAACCAGGAAGATTGCTGTGGGTTCAGAGCCAGCCTGGGCTACACAGAGACCCTGTCTCCGAAAACCAAAAGTCCAAAATGGCAACTCACCTATTCAAAACCTTGACAGATCTGGTGTTAGGAGCTGGAGTGCAGGAGGGAAGGAGGCAGCCAGCTGCTGCTAATGCTCCAGGGACCTTGTGGCACTGACCCAGGGCTCATGCAGGGCACTCGCCTATTTAAATTGCATTATGCACCATATATAGATAGATAGATTTTTTTTTTTAATGTTTTTTAGTGGAGTCTACAGGGTCTCACTACTCATAGTGATCCTATTTTCAGCCTCACCAAGTGCTGGGATCACAGGTGCGCGCCACGCCCAGTCCCAGTTGCCCTCTCAGTGTGCCCTGGGCACGGGGCCAGCACGGCACACCAGGGATTGAACCCCTGGTCCCTGAGCCTGCCTAAGCAGGTGCCTAAATCCACTGAGATATCTGGCCAACCCTAAATCGCATGTATTTTTTAAAAATTAAGAAGGAGGGGCTGGGGAGATGGCTCAGCAGAATAAGTGCTTCCCTGGCAAGCGCAAGGGTCTGAGGTCAATCCTCGGTTCTGCCAAAATAAAATAAAATTAAAATTAAAATTAAGAGGGAAGTGTGGAGGGGTGTGGAAGTGTGGAGGGGTGTGGGAGGCAGCACATGAGACTCCTCCTTCTGGGCCTAGCGCCCCAGGAAATGGCCTATGATTGCAGGGTCAACCCCTGCACTGGTCAGGTGTTCTCTGAGTCTCTCATTAGGCCACTATTTACCTGTTAGGGTGGAGGAAAGGCAGGGACAACAGAGAGGGCAGAAAAGGACCCAAATACCATGACTTTACCCCCAGGATTTTTTCCGGTGGTGCGCAGATGGGACCCAGAGCCTGGCACGGGTTAGGCCAGCCTCTAACACTGAGTCACACCTAGCCCTGGAGACCTTGTTAAAACACAAGCTGCAAAGCTTCCATTTCCTAGACCTGCCAGGTTATGTATGGTGCCCATGCTTTCCTGGACAGGGGCAAAGGCAGTGAGCATCTTGAGAAACCTTAGGGTTAGCAGTTCACTGAAAGCAGGCCAGTATTCCACACTGTTAATAGTTTGACCCTAAAGGAGTGGCCACAAGGTCATACCAAGGCCACTAAGCTCACACACAGCCTTACCTACCTGCTGGTCGGAAGCCCCTGATCAAACACACTCAGGCCAACACAACCCTCTACACCAGGGTCTGACCTTTCATTTCCGAAAGATAAGCACCTTCTGGACATCCAAGTCAGAACTCTTTCTCCCATATCTGAGTGTTTCAGAGACTGAGCCCAGGGGCTCTGGACCAAGTGCTAGGATTATAGGCCACCGAGGCAGCTGACTCAGATAGCTTAGGAGTCTTATGCAGTGACTCAATGCCAACAAAAAAATCACTTCATGGCCTACAAGTAATGGAAATTCAAGAACTTCATGTAAGGTCACTTTTTTCCTCAGTGCTAGGAATTAAAACTCAGGGCTGTGCACCTCCTAGGCAAGCACTCTGCTGCTCAGCTATACCTTTTATTTTGAGATATGGTCTAAACTACTCAGGCTGTGCTTAAACTTGTGATCGTCCTGCCTCAGCCTTCCAAGCTCAAGACAGTCTAGAATTACTGAAAGGGACATTAAAAAAATCTGTTATGTATTGGTCCATAATTAACGTTTTTGATCAACTGCATCATTCGCTTTGATTTTTTTTTTTATTTTATGGAAGCGTCTACAGTGTGTACAGGGTCTCACTGCACAGATCGGACTCATAGTGAGCTGCCTGTTTTTACAGCCTCCCAAGAGCTGGAATTACAGGCACACCATCACCACACCCAGTCTCACCATGACTGGCAGGCCCAGGGATGGAACCAACCCCACCCCCATCTGTGTGCTGACCACTTTGGTGTTGTTTATTAAAACCTGACTATGGGGACCAGGGAGATAGCTCAGTAGAATAAGCACCTGCCTGGCAAGCGCAGGGTCCTGAGTTTAATCCCCAGTACCGTAAAAAAAAAAAACCTGAATTTGGTCATCTATCCCCGTAATCCCAGCCCTCTGAGAGACTGAGGTAGGAGGACTGCAAATCTGAACCTAGCCAAGGTAATTCAGTGACTCAGCAAATCTTAATGCTATTTCAAGATTAAAAAAAAAAAAAAATTAAAGGGCTGAGAATGGGATTCCAGGTGTGCACCACAACATGGGGCAGTAAATAAGAAACAGAAACTAAGTTTGGAGAAGTTGATAATCAGGTTTATTTCCTTCATGGGCTATGACACAGGATTCTCTATAGAAATTAAAGTCAAGCTCCACGACTTTCAAATATATGATTTCAGCCACACATGGTGGCGCTAGCCCATAATCCCAGCGCCCAGAAGGCACCCAGCACTCTGCAAAGACACAAGGATTGCCAAAAGTTCTAAGGCCAGCCTGGACCTACATAATGAGTTCAAAGCCAGTCTGAACTACACGGCTAAGACCCTGTCTCAAGTAAATATCCAGGAAATAAAAACAGAATGTGCGAGGTCGATCATTCACCTCTCTATACCACGTTAATGTGCATGAGACTAAAATATTAAGAAAAAAAATAAGTAAACAACTAAAATAAAGGTCATAGCGGGGCCAAGGGGGCAGGGAGGCAGCGCGCTGTTTCCAAGGCTCTGCCTTCCTAACCTGCGCCTACGTTACCCTCGCAGCACCATCCTGGGACAACAAATAGGTCTACGGTTCCTTGCACTTTTCTCCCAACTTACCGTTCTCCCAAAATATAGGCCAAGGGCCGTGTAACGCATCTGAAAGCAGGACAGGGCGTGAGGCCTTCCAAAAGCGATCAGGCCCACTACGCCCCCGCCTGGGCCCTTCCACACACCGGCCTCCGTGGGGACCCCAAGCAGAGGTCACCCTCAGGCCGTAGGGCCGCCCCCCGCAACTTCGGGACCCGCACCCACGTGGACCCCGACGCCCAGGCCCCGACCTGCGGCAGGAGGGTCCCCGGGGAGCGAGCTGACCACCGGGCCAGGCCCACCCGACCCCCTCTGCCCGACCCCGCAGCCCCCCGCCCCGGCCCACCTGCCCACAGAGAGCGCAGGCCGCGCCTGCGCAGTCGGCCTCGCCCGCCGCCCCGGAGCTGAGGGCCGACTTCAGCCCGCTCGGGGCGGTGGCCTCGCGGAGCTCCTCTTTCCCTGCTTTAAGGTGGTGGTGTGGGGGGAGGGGTCCCCTGGCTCACCCGTGCCCAGCAGGCTGCCCAGGAGGAAGAGCGCGTACATGGCGCCGCCCGACTCTGCAGTCTGCAATGCGGAGCGTCAGCTGATCACGCCGGGTATAAACCCGACCCCACCCGACGCCGCGCAGTGCGCAGGCGCGATCCCCTTCTCGCCCCTCCCCTCCGGCCTCCGCCTGACTGTGGGGCGGGCAGGGGAGAAGGGGAAGCGGAGCGAAGGTGGGAGAGGGCAAAGGGAGGGAACGGGAGGGGCGGTTGTGAAAGAAAAACCCTAGCAATGCGCAAAAGCAAGATTAAGGATTATAGGCTGTGTGTACCGTGTTTGTTTTTTGCAACACAAGGAGATCACAGCCAAGCATGCACACACACACAGAATTGGACCCAGAGCCTTTGCCCTAACCTACATCCCCAATTTTTCAAATACATTTCCAAATGGGTCTCTATGTTGAAGGCTGGGTTCCAATTTTTTGACCTTTCTGCCTCAGCCTCCCAGAGTGCCGGGATTACATGTGTACCACCATACTGGGTTCAGATCTGTAATTTTTTTTTTTTTTTTTTTGGATAGGATCTCACTGTAATTCAGGCTGGTTTGAACTCTCAGCATTTCTCCTGACTTAGCCCTTCAAGTGCTGGGATTACAATAGTGGCCAGTTCCTTAGTCTTTGCCTTTTCCAGTTTGGCAATGTGAACCACAGATTTTGGGTCCAGGATGTTACCTTCTAGCCCCCATCTTTTCTGAGTATGATTTGCTGTGTGTACTCCTATTTTACAGATCAGAATCCACAGCATACAGTTTAACGATTTATCCAAGTTCTTTTTTTTTTTTTCCAAGTTCTTATAGTCTGGGTTCTAATTCACCATCCCCACCCACACTGTTTTTGTCAAGCAAATCAAAAACAGAAACTAAGGGCCTGCCAGAGAGCTCATGGGATTAAAGGATTAAAGCACCTGTTTAGGCAGAGGAAGGGGCCTAGCTTTCAATCTGGTGTACCGAGCCAGCCCTGCCCCCACCCCACTTGTACTGAGAAAGGGACTGAGACTGGGCTTGGTAGCACGTGCCTATAATCCCAGCACTTGAAGGCTGAAAAACAGGAAGGATCACTACCAGTCTGATCTGTGTAGTTAGACCCTGTAAACCCTGTACTAAAATACAGATAGAAAAAAAAAAACAACTGTAGGGATGAATTTGGGCCAGATGTGGTGGTGAGCACCTGTAATCCCAGCATTTAAAAGGCTGAGGCAGGAAGATCTCTGTGAGTATGACTACATAGTGAGTGCAAGGCCCACGTGAAATACATAGTCAGATTATCTCAAAAAAAAAAAAAAAAGGAATTTAATTTGGGAGGTACAGGTGCAGCGAGTTCTCAGTGTTTCAGAGATGAAAACTGAAGTCTTAGATACCAAGCAGAATAGAATGATGAAATAAAACTGGATATGGTGTCACACCCCTGTGATCCCAGCACTCAGAGTACTCGGGAGGCTGACACAGGAGAATTGCTGCCAGTTCAAGACCAGACTTGGCTACAAAGTGAGCTCATGGACAGCCTGAACTGCATAATTAGAATTTGTCTCAAAAAAGACAAAAATAAAATAAAATAAAATGGGGGGAAGAGAAAAAGAAAATAAAAATAAAATGTGATGAAACCAAGCTCGGTAGCACTGCCCTTAATTCCTCCCCAATTAAAGGTACAGCTCAGTGGCACGGCCTTGCTTAGCATGCATGAGCCTCTGGCTTCAACCTCCAGTACCAAAGAGGGGGAAAAGTGATGTTTGTCTTCACAGGCAACTTCTATGGAAATAGAGAAGGTATTGCAGACAGCTGAGTTGAATAGAAATTCATATATAGAGGCCAGGGAGATAGCTTAGTAGAATAAGCGCTTTCCTGGCAAGCGCGAGGGCCTGAGTACAATCCCCAGTCTTGCCACAAAAAAAAGAAAAAAAGAAATTCATATGTAATCAGAGAGAGACTCGGTCCTCAAGGAAGCCTCAAAAAATAAAGCCATCAGGGTGGTACAAGCCTGTAATCCCAGAACTGGGGGTAGGGGGAGGTGTCCAGAGGCAGGATTATTGTGAGTTGGAGACAAGCCTGGGCTACATAGTGAGTTCAAGACCAGCCTGCACTACATAGGCAGGCTTTCATAAAGACAAATAATAGAGCCAGACATGGTTTGATTGAGGTGGCCTCCTGCTTACCACCAGGCATGCTGATGCTAAAGCAGTTCCCGAGAAGGCAACAAGTTGTCCTCTTCTACAGAAGGATTTTGCAAGCAATCTGGTAAATTGCAAGTGTATCTGGCTGCAAATACCTGAAGAACTGGGAAAGGGAAGACTTCAAAAGAAATAAAAACAAAAGAGGATAGAATCCCAATGATGATGGCCCAAGGCAATGTCCAGCTAAAGGAGTCAGAAAAAACACCTGCATTAGCACCATCTTAGCTCTGGCATTTTTCTGAAGGATTTCCGAATATTTATGATTGATTGAGTTTAGGTTTAATGATCAGCTCAAAGGCAAGTGGAATCGATATGTACACTACTCAGGCACAACTTCACAAAGACATGATAATAACAACGCTTGGCAAGTGCAAGGGCCTGAGTTCAATCCCCGGTTCTGCAAATAATAATAATAA